AACAAGATTCATAGGTATGACAGCTGATGGGAACTTAAATAATCTGGTGACTTTTCTCCTGAACATGCCAATTGATTACTCCTTTCAGGCACTGTTTTTTCCCCTCTGGTTACCTATCCATGAATACAACTTTCTACTTTTGAATCACACTCCTTAAAATTTTATCCTCCAAATTTATGAGACACATGTTTTAAAAACATTCAAAGTCTCAGGCTCTCATACTTTTATTTTCAAACTAGACCCATTCTTCCATATTGACCTGAGCAGCAGCAGTTGGCTTCACTAGCTGGAGGGGTTCTGTCTGCTCCAGTGATCTCTAGGAGACAGTCAGCAATCTCATTAAGAAAAACCAGCTGCCATTGAGTAGATTGCCCACATGTGACAGAGAACTGTGCTCCATAGTGTTTTCTTTTTTTAAAATTTTTATTGTGATTTGGGTGAAAATTTACAGAGCAAATTCATTTTCCATACAGCTCTTCATACACGTTTTGTATCATGACACTGACTACAATTCCCCACAATGCAATGGCTCTTTACTCCCTGTAGTTACCACTTCCCTGTGTCTTTCTTTCCTATGCATTCCTGCCCCCTAAGCTATCTCCCTGTGCAAATACTTTCCTTCAGTTCTGCCATGATTGATCATTCTCAGGGGTCATGATGTAAATGTTCACCCTATACACCTGTCTGTTGTTTGGCTGGAAGCTATGGGAGTAAGTTCAGTTCTAGACCTGCAAGGTAACTAGGGGCCATAGTCTCTGGGGTTTCACCAGGCTCTATTCGACCAGTAAACGTGGTGTTTTTGATGATTTTGAGTTTAGTTCCATATTGTTCTCCACTCTATCCAGGATCTCCTGTACTGATCTCTATCCAACTGGTTGACAGTGGTAGCCAGGTGCCATCTAGTTCTTCTGGTCTCAGGGTCATGTAGACTGAGGTTCACATGGTCTGCTAGTCCCTTGGATCAAGTGTCTTTGGTTTTCTTCACTTTTCTTTGCTCTGGATGAGGAGAGACCCATTGTTCCATCTAGATGGCTGCTTGCAAGCTTTTAAAACCCCAGTCGCTATTCATGAAAGTAGGGTGTAGAACAATGTTTTGTATAGTATATTAGGCCAATTGAGCTTGATATCCCACAGGTCCAACTACTCACTCCCTCAGGGTAGTTGGCTGTGGCTAAGAAGTTATCATAATTTTGCCCCTTGTTGGCTTTATTATATATATGGACATTCTTTTTTTAATGCATTTTATTGAAATATAATTTATGTACAGTGAAATACACAAAACTAAAGTGACATAGGTCAATGCTTTTTTTTTTTTCCTTGCAGTGTTCCCTCTCCTCCCCTCCCACCCCTGGCAACCAACAAATTTTCCCTCCATATATACACCTTTCCTTGACCCTCCACAACAACAAAATAATACTGTATTTGTCCTTCTGTGATTGACTTATTTCACTC